ACCAAATGCTTGTAGAGGCATTTCTAGCTTCTTCAGGCACTCCGTATCCAGCCAATATCATTTTGTATCAAGTAACAAATAAATCAAATAAAAATGTAATTGTTTTATAACAGATGTTTATAGCAGATGTTTAGCTATGTACAGTTGCTAATGAAGGGTTTGGGACTGAAAAAAGAGAGAGAGAGAGAGAGAGAGAGAGAGAGAGAGAGAGAGAGAGAGAGAGAGAGAGAGAGAGAGAGAGAGAGAGAGAGAGAGAGAGAGAGAGAGAGAGAGAGAGAGAGAGAGAGAGAGAGAGAGAGAGAGAGAGAGAGAGAGAGAGAGAGAGAGAGAGAGAGAGAGAGAGAGAGAGAGAGAGAGAGAGAGAGAGAGAGAGAGAGAGAGAGAGCGTCAGTAATAGAGAGAGAGAGAGAGAGAGAGAGAGAGAGAGAAAATGTCCAAAAAGTGATATGCATGGGGTTGAAACATTGTTTGTTGGAGATTTGGGCCTTTAGATTTCCATCAGGATATGTGGATTATGGCAATTTATTGTTTCTTGCAATAAATTGAAGGGATATTTCACAAAAATATGTCAATTCTGTCATAATGTACTCGCCCTTATGTCTTTCCAAAGCAGTACGAGTTTCTTTCTTCAGTGGAACACAAAAGAAGATATTCTGAAGAATATTGGTACCTATTAACTTCCGTTGTATGGACAAAAACAACACTGGCACATTTTTCAAAATATCTTATTTTATGTTCCACAAGAGGGTGAGCAGATGAAGACCGCAGGGTGATCTATCCCTTTTTTTACTATTAAAAACTACCATTCAAAACTTTAGGGTCAGTAAGATTTTATAAAAAATAATGTATAATTAAGTAATTAATACTTTTAGTTAGCAAGGATGCATTAAACATATTATTAAAGATCTGGAAAAAAAGGAACAGTGAAAACTTTTTCATTGTTACTATATATATATTCTTATATTATATATATTCCGTTCTTAAACTGTTCATCAAAAAAATCATGAAAAATCACAGTTTCTACTGTCTTTTCCAACATTGATAATAATGTGAAATGTTTCTCACCAAATCAGCATATTAGAATGATTTCTAGGAGTGTGACACTGATGACTGGAGTAATGGCTGCTTTTAAAATACATTAAAATAGAAAAAGGTTATTTGAAATTGTAATACTATTTCACAATATTACTGTATTCATGATCAAATAAATGCAGCCTTGGGGGGTGCAAGAGAATACAAATACATAAATACATTTTACCAACCCCAAACCTCTGAATGGTAGTCTATGCCACACTCTGAATCATAGGTGTGACTTTATTGTAACTTAATAATAAATTACTTTATATAATGTTTAACAGATCATTAGAGCCATCACTAAAAGCAGCTTGTCTGAAGAACCTGGAAGAGTGATTACTGTGTGGTGTAATTTTATCTTCATAAAACAAGCAAACATACACACATGCTCCTTCACAGACAGCAGGTTCACACAGTGTTTTGCTAAATCTACCTGTTAAAATGGTCCCTGCCACACCCTGACATACCCACATGTATTTATCATGCTAGATATTTATTTCTATTGTTCTTACTTCTATTGTTTTTATATTGAGGTAATGCCATTTTATAACCCCTAAACCTAACCATTGCACAAACCTTTCGTGCTTTTTCATTAAGACATAATTTGGCATGCTTATTAAGCTGTTTTCCTTGTTGGATGGTCTCCACAATGTATGATTTCAGGTTTTACATTTGGTCCTCACAATGTAGGCAACACGCGCACACACTTACCTCTCCATGTTCTGTGCTTTCCACACTCTCCCCCTCCTTTCCTTTTGCTTTTTCCTTCTCTCTCTCTTTTTCTGGTTCTGTCTGGGACTCACACTCGTCTTTCTCCACCTCTTTCGTACTCTTTTCTGTCTTGTCAGGTGGAGAGGGAGTGGCTGTGGGAACAGGTTATTGCAGGTAAAGTCTCTGTGTGTGTGAGATTCTCTCTTTGAGCTGCATATGAGGGTTTTAGGTGCATTTGTACCTGGTTTGGAGGTGCACGGTGTGTTGTTGCAGCTCATTTCAGGTGTGGGAGTATCTGTCTTAATGGCAGGTGAAGAAGCTCTTGAAGATTTCTTGGAGTCCAAAGTAATCTCTGGCTTCAGTTCAGGCATGCTCCATTTCCCATTAATGTGCTCAAACTCTTGCACCTGCACACAATGTAAAACACACCTGCCTCTTCAATACAATAAAAATCTATCTATCTATCTATAACAGCTAGGTGGAGCACAAAAAAATAAATATTATTACATTTTCTATTTGAATAAATTTGAAAGTGTAACTTTTTTCTGTGATGACTGACGCTGAATTTTCAGCAGGCATTACTCCAGTCTTCAGTGTCACATGATCCTTCAAAAATCAATCCAATATGTAGATTTGGTGCTCAATAAACATTTCTTATTATTATCAATGTTGAAAACAGTTGTGCTGCTTAATATTTTTGGGTAAACCATACTTTTTTCCAGAATTCTTTGATGAATAGAAGTTGTCACTTGATCAATTTAATGCATCTTTGCTGAATAAAAAAATGTGGCAGATCCACACTGACCTTCTTCTTTACCAGAGACATGACTCCTATACGTGTGAGAACCGGCTGCCTGCAGAGCCCTTCGCGCGGGACACCATCAGCGAATGTCTCTGAACCGTCAGCCACCGGCTCACAGAGGTGCCTCATGAAGAGCGACACGTACGCCCTGCCAGGGAAACAAAGAAAGAAAATGGAAAAGAGAAGTTTCCTTAGCAGTACCCAAGTCTGAAATTTACACATTTCTATATCAAATTAAATTTTCCAAACACATTTATTGGTAAAAAGAAAAAAGTCATACTTGAACTCCTTTTCACTCTTGCCGCGGAGGTCTCGCACGAGCCACTGGAAGGAGAAGGCGTCCTGAGCCGGCATCCCCCATCTCATGATGGCATTCAGGAAAGCTTTTCTCTGACGCGTATTAAAGCCCAATACCTGACCAACACAAGATTAAGCAGAAGGTGACAAATTCCATTTTTACGTACATTGTTTTAAAGGGGTCATATGATGCTATTTCAATTTTTCCTTTCTCTTTGGAGTGTTACAAGCTCTTGGTGCATAAAGAAGATCTGTAAAGTTGCAAAGACTAAAGTCTCAAATCCAAAGAGATATTCTTTATAAAAGTTAAGAGTCAACCACGCCTACCTAAAACGGCTCGTTCTAACACGCCCCCACATGTCTACGTCACGATGTGGGAAGATTTGAATAACGCCGCCCAAATGTTCACGCAAAGAAAGAAGGCGTAACTTTTACGCATAAACACATTTCATTACACCAAATACACAAAATAATGATCTTTTTAGCAACATCATATGACCCCTTTAATCTAATCAAGCCTTATAAGAAAAACAGGCATGATTTTATTGGCATTAGGAAACGTTCCTGGGCAATTCTCAAAACGGGAAAAATGCAGCACTGTTATCTCCAGCTGTCTGTCAGTCAATTTAATTATGAGAGGCATGTATCCAGAGACACTGTATGTACTAGACATGCAGGCAACCTCCAGATAAGCAAACACTCCGAAAATAAATTATAAATCACATTAAACTGTGATTAAACAAATAAAGAATAACTGCACAATACCTCAATGTTGCCACCCACTCTGGCCAACAGGGGTGGCAGTGGTTTATCCTTCTCATTCCTGAGCTGCCTGCGTGATTGTCTGCGACCTGGACGAGGGGAGAGGAGAGTCAGCCAAGAGATCAGCTCATCATGTCCATCTCACTGAGCCAGCATCAGGAAACAGGGTTATAGCACAGGAAGGATAAATTATCCTGAACAGCTGCAATACATAAACTGCGAATGTGCCTCCAGAAGAATAGCAAAACCTGACAAAGCCGCAAGATGTCCCAACACGGTACCAAAATTCAAAGAGACACAAATGGAGCACATAAATGTCTTAAAGTCTAAAAGGGGCCAAAAGATGTGGGGTTTAGTAGTTATATTTGTACATTTGTGAGTAAAGCTTTAATTTATAAATATAATATTGTAATAATAACAATATTGTTATGATTCTAATATTATTAGTATTTAGAACATTGTATTATGTTTATTTTTATTTTTATTATGAAGATCGATATGTTAATGAGAATTGAGAGTGTGTCTGTTTGCTCCTCACCCTCAGGTCTCTCATCAAAGTCCTCATCTTCCTCCTCTGAGCCCACGGAGTATTCTGATTGGTTATCTGAAATGTCAGCATGCCATTCTGTAACACCATATTGAAAAGAGCACTATCAGTAATGAATACTAAGTACAAACCACAGTACAGAGTATGTTCAGCAGTGGTCAAACAACTTCCATTCACCAGAAAACTCAAAGAAAGCCCAACCAAAATCTTATATATCAGTTTGGCAACCCTCTCCAACAATGGAAAAAAGACAGATGTGATCGTTTGATATTTGGCTCCTTTGTGACAAAATGTTCTGTATCTCCACTTATCTAACCCAGCACAAGCATTCTGTTCAAATTCAGCTGTCAGAGAGAATGATTTAGTCCTACAGGAAAACACAGGGCTGCTTAAACCAAAATGAAAACCCACAAATGTCAATTATTGAAGCACAGGCCACTGTCAAATTTTTAAAAAGGCCAGCAGATTGTTTTCTGTGCATATGTAATATATTCTGCAGAGGAAATGCTGCAACGTTACGACCCTGCAGGTCAGTTTACTTGGATATTCAAAGAAAAGTATGTGTACTTACAGTTAATTTTAGTTATCGCTGTAATTATGCAGCCGTAAGCGCCATCACAAAACCATAAATTCCATACTGTTCCTTTCTGGAGAAAACCTAATTTTTCTTTTCTGTTATTTGTCTTTTTCCTGACCATTTTGTTTTTCTCCTTTTGACACATAAATGAAAAGCTGCCACACTTTGGCATCCCCTGGGTGTAGTTGATGCAGCCATTTTTGAGTCAACTGCATGTGGCTGTTCTAACCTGACCAAAACAGCAGTGTGTGTGATATAGTTTTTCTTTCCCACTCAATCATAAGTAAAGTAGTAAACCACATGCCAAGAATGAAACTGCTACAAGATGTAATTTTGGATATTTAAATGAGATAATATGCTACATTTATATGACAAGCACAAACATGGTTTATTGTAATAAAAGGAAGAAGTATGGACTAATTACAATACAGTGGGGTCCAAAAGTCTGAGACCACACTGAAAATCTTGGCTTCAAAATTGAATTTAAACCTTGACAAACTTAAAACAAAGAAACATTTTGACATGAAATGGAGAAATATTTCAGATGACTGACTATTTTAAGGTCACTAATCAAATGATCTAATTTGTTACATAGATCATGTGACTCCTTTGTACAGACAGTCAGATGTTCTTCCGTTGAAGCACAAGATGCTCTTAGGATCGTTCTCAAATTATGCTGGAGAACATGATCGTCAATTGTTTTTAAAAAACAACAACAACAACAACAACAACAAAAAAACAAGGAAAGTTCACGGAGTTTAAGTGCTGCTGTCACTGAAGCAAAATGCAACATTCCAAATACTAAGAAATATTGAAATTCATTTTCATTTTAACTTTTAACATTTCATTTTAACTTTTCACGCAAATTGTTATGCTGAAAGAAAATTCTGCAGGAAGTGTTGTACTGTACCTTGGTCCTCCTGAGCCGCGTCATTGTAGTTGACCTGTTTGCGGACTCTCTTTCCTTTCCCGAGATTGCGGGCCAGATCTTCCTGCTGTTGTTCATAGTGATGCCTCAAGAGTTTCTCCCAGTAATCAGGATCCACATTCTCTTCCTGCTTAATGATCTCTCTCTCGATCTCCTCTATCTGGACACACAACAACAAATGAGATCTCCTTAATAACAAATGAAGATCTCCTTAATATCTCATTTGTTTCTCAAAGACACCAATAATATTCTATGGAAAGGAAATGGAGACCATATCTCCTGCTTTTCAGAGGTTTCTCCTGAAAAAAGACCCCAGTATTCTCCAGTATCCCCTAGAGAAGTGGTTCTCAAACTGGAGTATGCTTACCCCTGGGGGTACACGAAGTGATGGAGGGGGTACATGAACAAAATACTGAAATGTACTGTTAATTAAATTATATCGCACTCTTAAATAACATTCAACTGAGCAACTGAGCTGTTTCTCACAGGCAAAATATATAAGCGCGTGCCCCCTCTAGTGTACAAACAAAACAATGGTAGTGCTATAAAAGGTAAAATCCATGACATCCAATCAATTTATCCCATATTTTGCAGTCAAAATATGCATCCACTCAAGTGTCATGTGTAAGTACACATCTTTACTTGACCTCTGTTTGCTCATGTGCATCAGCTGAAGTGTAAACAGTTGAGAGATGCTGAGGCAGGCATGACGCTTAGGTGTTACAGGACACGTGCTCCATTACCGATTAAAAGAGAGGAAAAAATATACAAGGTAAGGTGGCAAATAGGTAGGCTAATAAGAGTAGAAGGAAAGGCGGGATGTATTGTCTATTTGCTTTGATCTTGAGCCAGCGTTTGGTTAATGGTGAATATTGGCCTATTTTGCGTACTGTTGTGGCTCCCGCTGGTAAAAAAAACAGCAAAGTTATATATTGTGTAAGGTGCCAGACAGGTACAAAAAGAATAGAAGGAGACCCGGGTTGCACTGTCTGTTCGTTCACATGCATCTATCGGATTGAGAGCTGCCTCCAGAGGTGGCAGGTTTTCGTGGCAGCTCCCCCTGCCTCGCAAAGATTTTACCCTTACTGTAAATCGCGCTGTAATTTAATACTCCGACTCTCTCCGATATAGTCAAAAATCGCTGAGTTATGCAAGTCATATCAAGCAAACCCATCTCCTTAAATGGTGAGTAATTTGCTTAAAAATATATGATAAGTTGCATTCAAATGATGTGTTTGATAAAAGGGAGTTATTTTATAAAGGTATATGTGTTGCATGTGCGTGTTTTTAAAATACTTTGTGACTGTAGTCTAAGTGTGAGAGGTGCGTGGAAGGACATTAAATGCCTGGGGGGGGG